CCCTGCCTTCTCCCCCAACAGGAATTCAGGAGTAACACTGACAGTACAATAAACATTAGTTGACCAATGTGAAAAGCAGGAAAGATTCCCCTGTGCCTCTTTTCCTTCACGGAATGATTAGAGATCCTAAAGTATAGTCTGTTCTCAATTATTCATGGAAATGGAGCCAATGGAGAAGAAAACAGGAACAGGAAAAGAGATCCTGGATAATTTTTAAATGATGACAAACTGGATAATCCAAAAATCTAATTGCAGTCATTAGTCTCAAACTTCTTCCCTGTCAACCTTTTACTAGGACTGTTAACACTTCACCCTGGTCTGCCCTCTGGAAGTACTTGAAGACAGTGTAATTGGCAGATGACCGGCCCCAGAAGCAGTAGCAGCTGCAACAAGGGACCTGAATAGACCCACAAACTAGAGATGTTCCCCATCACCCTATTCCATATCCCTAACTGTAAATGAGGCTTTTTTTTTAATCAAATGATGTAATATATGTAAAGTGCTTTGTAAACCTTAAAGCACAACATATGTCAACTGCTGCTATTATTATTGTTATCACCACTCACCTGACTTCTTTAAAGCATCCTGAGTGAAAGAACCTCTGTTTTACAAGGATATTTTAGAAATTTCTGGTCATTTGAAGGTGAGCTATTGCCTCAAGTCTCTTCCAAGTAAAGAATGAACTTTGGTATTTATGGTGCTTTGTGCCCTTCTGCTTCTGTTGCCAACTATATCTTGCATTTTCCTGTCTAAATTGCCCCTGGTTTTTATCATTAGGAACCTAAAGAAATAGGCACCTGGGTGGGTTTGTGTGTCGATTTTGTTCCTCACTTGAAGTTAAATTTTTATTGGTGATATCTTTTGGTTACTATGGAAATGATTAAAGCAAGGTTAGGGTGGCTCTATAGGACTTAGTCATGGAAACTACATCTCTACAACATTAAACCATCTATCACCCTTCCTCTTTTACTTGTTCACTGATACCTTTCCACTTTAGGATCCCACTACTTGTCATCTCAGTTTATTAAAATCCTTTTTGAGCTTGTTGTGATTTTTTTCCCTATGCTTCTTTCAAAATATTCAGTTAACTTTTTTCTCTTCTCTTTCTGTGTCACAGGAATCTTAAAGGGTCTGTCAGACCCTGAAATCTGGTAGATTTCAGAGGGTCTGTGACCTTGAATGGGAGGAAAAAATTGCATCTTTATTTTCACTAGCCTCTAACTGAAATTTATCATTTCCTTCAGTTATTTAAAAACGTTATTTCAAGAAAGCGTACATAGGTTTTACCAAACTGCCAAAGGGGTCCATGAATAAAATAAAGGTTAAGAACCCCTGCTCTATCACTTTGGGCATTTTGATTTTACTTGGTGAAAGAACTTTCTCTGAGGACCTTGCCCTCTAGGATACCCTTTTTGTACATCTTCGTTTTCTACCTCTAAAGATCCAGACTGAAAGCCTTTTTTTTTTCCCCTTGGCTTAGGGCCTCTTAATGTGTGTCTCCCTCTCCTGTCATTTATTATTTAGCTCTGTAAAATGTTTTGAGTTCAATCTGTGTGAAGGATAAATCGGGAGGCAGACGACAGACTACGAATGCAGTGCCTAGACACATGATCTGCTTGACAAGCAATGCAGTTACAAATGGGTTGTGAGTTAAATTCCAGTGAGTGGCAGCACCATTATTCATCAAGATTTCATCCTCTGTTTCAGTCTGTTTATACCACAGAAATGTGTTGTGTTGGGATATTTTTTTGAAAGGGATGGGAGGGCATCAGTTTGACTTGTAATTAGTTTTATTTTAAATGTCAGACATAAAGAAGCAACAAGCATTTCTTTAGCTGCAACATTAGAGGACAGAGTAGGGAAAAAAGGAGAAATTGAGAACATAAGTTGAGTATTAGCTGTAGCCTTCTGAAAATACAGAATCTTTTGTTTAAATATAGTTAAATAGAGAAATTAGGAAGGGACTGGGAAAATGATAGAATGATTTAAGAGTAATTGTGAGTACTCAATTAAAAACAGTCTTCTCATTGTGATCTACTTTCATGACTTAGCAAATAAGAGGCCAGCAGCAAGTGGAAAGAAACCAGGAAATTAATCAGATGGATTCAGTGACTGCTTGATTTGAATATTTGAAAGTCATGCAAGTGTATATACATATGTACGTTTTTATGACCTCTCACAGGTTTTTGCTTGTTTTTGCTTTTAGTTAAAAAACACATTTTTCCATTTTCTGTAAAAAATTGAAAACTGTGAATTATGGTGTAATTTAGAGAGGCTACTTAAAATTTGATTCTTTTTGACCAGGGGTTCTTAACCTTTTTTCTTGTTATGGCCTCCTTTGGCTTTCTGGTAAGGTCTATGAATTCCTTCTTAGAATGATAGTGCTTTTAAATAATTGAAGGAAATGCTAAATTTCCTTTAACAGTTAATGAAAATAAAAGTTTTTTTTTCCCTGTTCAGGGTCCTATGCCCTCCTGAAATCTATCCATGGACCCCAGGTTTAGAACCCCAGTTTTAGCTTGAAGGGAACCACTTTTCAAATTTCCCAGAGGGTTTTTTTTTTTTTTGCCTGTATTCTCCTATTGGTTATCCCATTATGATAATTGGTTTTCAGAGCTTTTGAAAACCTAGAGCTTTGCTGTCTTCCTTGATATATTCCTCTTGTGTTGTTTCCTTTAAGTTTTGGGATCTCAAATAATTCCTTAAAATACTACTATTCCCATTCCACTGCCAGGGCAACTGAGATCCTCCCTGCTCCCTTCCCTGACCCTTCCCCCCCTCCCCCAAATGGAAAAAAAAAGTGAGCAGATATCTCCAAATTATAGAATCAAGCTAAAGGTTGAAGAATCTTGACTTCTGGTGCCCTGTTCAGTGCTTCTGCTTAAACTTTTATTGTATACTGTATATATTCCCTAGTCTAGAGTAAGCAACAGGACCTGCCTGGTTGAAATATAGGAACACTAGCCATTTGATACTAGCGTTGAGCGTAGAAATTCTGGGACTGGGAAGGCAAATTGGTCTCTAGTAAGTATCAGCAGTAAGGATGTTTTTTTCCAGGGACGATAGCTACTTTCTAAAATTGGCCTTGGTCTTTGCATTTATTTTTCACATCCATGTTATGGTTCCAGAAAGTGTTAAAATCCTCACATGTTTAAAACAAACAAACCAGAAAATCCTCTTGTCCTGAGGCTGTGTGAAGAAGAATGAAGCTCTCATTCTCCTAGTACCCAATCATCAGCTTGAGCTAGCTGCTCCTAGGAACAGAATTTATTGAAGCAATTTATCCTGGCTAAATGTGGTATAAATCTGTGTACACGTATGTACATATAGGCGCAATTCCATTACAGCAGTGGTGTGGCATCGGTTTCCCTCAGAGTTAGACCCTGTTCCTATCACACTGAAAGATGACCAAGAAACCATTTCTATTTCATCTGGCACCTCACACCTATTTGTTGTGTGATTTACTGACCAGACAGCCCAAAAGCCTGGTTTCCCCCAGAGTGAGTTTTAAGAGAGTAAGAGAGATGTTACTCAGCTGTCCTCTGATATTTAAACTGGGCTTCATGGTCAGGAAACTGTCAAATATTGAACTTTAACACATGAGCCAGAATGAATCTGACATGACATTTTGGTTCTATCTCAAATTAAAAATTTGAAACCTAATTGTTCTGTGGCCCTTCCTATATACATTTATATAGTTTGAGATGTAGTTCTTTTCCTTCTTTCCTCCTTCCCTTCCTCTGTCCTTCCTTTGCTTGCTTCCTTCCTTCCGAAATTCTGTTTTCTTGTCTTTCTCTTTTATGGGAATATGCCTGAATACTTCCTTTGAGAGCTTACTCTAATATATTTCTTGTTCCTCTTTTTGCTCCCTCACCCTTTCAAAATACTTTTCATCCTTTTCAAATCTATTCCGTTACAAGTTGCCCTTCCAACTTCAGTCTGTCTTCACCTCAGTTGTTTAGTTCTTTACTAGAATGTAAGAAACCTCACTAATACTTTGAGATGAGACTTTCAAGGGCTCAATTTAAATACTTTTTTAAAGGAAAGAGAGAAGCAGAAACTCATATTAGCCATGTTAACTTCTTCTAAGGAGCAGAGGGGACATTGGTGATTCCTTTTAGGGCCATTTTGGTTCTCCCCTGCAGCAGCACACATCTGTTGGCTTCAGCAGAGCCGCCCAGGAACTCTGGCCAGGAGCAGCACAAACAGCCGGAACATATTTGCCCAGTAAACCCCCAAAGAAATGACATTTGTTTTATTGCTGCTTTTTAAAACCCAGCCATAAATAGAATGGGGGTGGGGGTGGTACAGATATTTCTTGATTTGACATAGACAATTGGTAGGGGGAGAAGGAGGCTCCCAGTGGGGAGGAAAGGTTTTTGTTTTTATTTTTGTATTAATGAAAATAATTTCCCACGCAGCCCAATAGGATGGGTGCTTTGTTTTCCTTGGCAATAATCTGGGATAAACGGCCCTTGCCAACAGCCTCGTAGTTTATACACCGGGGAGCAAGATTATGGCCTTGTAAAATGGAGCACCCCTCCTATAATCCCTTAATTAATTAAATGACAAATTTTGGTCTTCTCCAGGTCAGAAATATGGCTTGTGCATCCGGCACTCGGCGGATTTATCGATATGGGAAACTGCACTGGTTGTAATTCAGCAGGCTGAGGAGAGAAAGGGAAAGAGAGAGAGAGAGAGAGTGTGTGTGTGTGTGTGTGTGTGTATGTGTGATGTATATTTGAAAGGGGGAAATTTTTTAAAGGTTTAAAATTCTTTGACCATTTAAACCTAAATTTTCCTAATCACCAGTTTCAGTTTAGGCACCTAACATACGCCACATGTCTAGCAGGTTCTGGGGCTCCCCCAAAGTAGCCTATGTTTTGATAGATTACATTCCTAGCTACAACACCTGCTTCTAGGCTTGATATTTTTGTAATACTTTTTTTTTTGCCCCAGTGTATTTAAAATAACTTTTTCCCCTCCTTACCCCTCCCCAGCTCCGCTCAGCTATATGAAATATGGGAGACGACAGACCGTTTGTGTGCAATGCCCCGGGCTGTGGACAGGTACGTTTACAATATACTTTATTGTGAATGTCTCGTTGTGAATCAAAGTGGCTGTTTTATCACTAAGGCAAAGAGTTTAAAGCTGGTATTTTACGTGATCACTGGAGGTAATCAAATCAGAGGATTTGCAGTGTGTAAATCCAAGTTATGAGGAAGTGTAGGCACTCTACTGTAATGAAATCTGCCTTGCTTCCTTCCATATTATTATTCTACTGGTGTTTGTTTCCCAACACAGGGCAGGGAAGAAACATTACCCTCCCCTTAAGCTCCTGAGACTGCCCATCTGAATACAAAGAGAGTCTGGAAATTTCAAAGACATCTTCTTTCCTCTCTCTACCCCTTAGCAGATACATAAGGCTACCTAGCATATTGTAAGAGGCCTCTGAGAATGCAGCTATCCTTTGTGAACCCCAAAATACTACTGTCTGTTTTGAGCTCATAAATTGGGGAGGGTATAACCCTGACTTTTTTTGCATAAGATTGAAATGAACCATTAGTGAAAGGCATCTAGCACAGCCATCAAGGACTTGTATATATGGTATTGTATACAGCCTACAGAGCCATTCAGCCATTTTCTAGCCAAGCCCAGAACACATTTTGTGCAGGTGCCCACTCACCCCATAATAATGTAAAATATGTCTGAAGTTGTGATGTTCTGATCTATACTTTTTTTTTAAAGTGCTTTTAGTTTTACAATACTTTTGTTTTAAGATCATATTTTGGGTATTTTTTTCTGTTCTTTATTTTTTCCCTGTGCTTCTCATGTTCCACAAAAGGATAAGGAAAGAGAAACAAAGATCTATCTGTGTCCTTCCTTATGTGTCCTAGCTCTATTACATAATACACATACCAAGGAAAACCAAGTTCCAGACACCAAAACATAAAACTGGGATATCCATAGAAATTGAAGAACTCTAACTCATTTAGGCAATGGAGCAAGGAATGGAGAGCTCCCAAAGTTGTGCAGAATTCACAACCCTTTCTTTTACTATTCTGTTTAGTACACCAGTATTGATCCCTTTCCTTGAAAAAGCTGTCAATTCAGACTTTTGGGGGATTGTTTTCCATGGCATTATATTTTTAGTTTATAATAAAATGTTCTCTAAGGGGCCTTTCAGCTCTAATGTCTACAATTCTATAATTCAATGGGAGGAAATTGAGTTTGCTTCATGGAAATTAACTTCATAACCAATACCTCATTCATAAAGCAAGAAATACTTACTTTAATGATCTCAAGTTCTACTCAATTCCTCTTAACCCTTCCTCAGAGAGCAAAAGTTTAACATGGTCGATTACTGTGGTGCTTCTTAGCAACAGGTTAAGATATAATGATGTAGAGAAACTGTTTTCTTTATACCCTGCTTAAAAATAATGTTAACTTAGATTTATGTAGCACTTCAAAGTTTACTGAGCCCTTTTATGCCTAGTATCTCATTTGATCCTCACAGCTCTGTGAGGTATTATAGATTTTGTTATCCCCTTTCACAGATGAGGAAGTTTAGCCCTAGAGAAGATATGTGACTTGCCTGTAATAACTACCTAAGGTATAGAATCCAAACTTAGCTCTCTCCTGACTCCAGTTGGGAGTCTAATTGTTCCATTATAACACACTGTTAGAATGTGTACCATATTGTATATGAATTTGAAAATATATTTTTTCCTCTTTTGCTCTGGATTTAAAATTTACCTCTTTTGAACTGTAGATTTCTTCTCATAATTTTAATACCTCATTTTCTTGCACAATTACATAGTTTCTGTATTAACTTTGGAACAAAGAGATTCTATAGTTTGTCTTGGTTTTTTAAAACTAGGAAGAGCATGGAGACTTCAAACTCTATAACAGTTACCTTGGTGGCTTTTTTGGCAAAATTCTAGAACACATTATTAACGAGATGGTTTGTGACCAATTAGAAAGTAGTGATGATCATTAAGAACCAGTGTAGGTTCTAATGTTTTCACTATTTCTTTTTTGATAGGTCTATTAAACTAGATCAGGAAGTTGCCATGGACTTAGTTTACCTGGATTTTAGCAAAACATTTGACAAAGACTCACATTATTCTTATGAATAAGAGGGAGAGATGTAGCCTAGAATATAATACACTTAGGCGGATTTAGAATTGCTTGAATAATTGGGCCCAAAGAGTAGTGATTAATGAAGTGAATCTCAACTTGGAGGGAGGTCACTGCCCTTTAGATCTGTCCTGGGCCCTGTTCTGTTCATCATTTCTGTCAGTGTTCTGTCTGAAGGCCTGCTTATCAAATTTGCAGAGAAGGTGGGAGGGATAGTAATACATTGGAGTTTAGAATGTTGAACCAAGTAATAAGATAGGAAAGGCAACAGATTGTATGAAAAAAACATATGACTGACTCCTAAATCTATATACCCAGACATAATCTTCTCATACATGCCATCTTTCATCAACTACTTTCTGGGCCTCTCATGAAAATTCAAACTTTCCATATCTAAAACACATTTTGGATTATCTTCTTCTCTAAATCCAGCCCTCCTCAAAATCCTGTTTCTGACTCATTGCATCCTTCCAGAAACACCACATTTACAACCTCCAACCTTAAGGTCATCTTCAGTTCTTCCTTCTCCCTCACACTGTGTCTAATCAGTTTCTAAATCTTGTTTTGTTTTGTTTTTCTACCTTAGTAGCTCTTGCACTGTCTTCTCTTCATTCACACAGCCACCATCCTAGTTCATTTTCTGTCCCCTGGACAAGACTTAAAATTGATCCTTCAGTCTCTACCTTCCCTCTCTAATCTATTCTCCCCTCCAGTGACAGAATAATCTTCCTAAAATATAAGTCTGACAGTGTCACTCCCCTGCTTAAGAACCTTTAGTGGCTTTCAGTTGCCTCTGTGATAAAATATAAACTCCTCAGCTGGATGTTCAAAACCCTTCACAATCTGGCTTCAGCCTACTTTTCCAGGCTTATAGCATATTATTCTCCTTAAAAATTGGCCTTCTTACTGCTCCTCAAACGGCACCCAGTCTTTACCATTATGCATAGGCTATCCCTCATCCCAGGAATGAGCTCCTTCCTAACCTTTTCCTTTTAGATTTCCTGGCTTTCTTCAAGGCTAGCTAACATGCCATTTCCCTTAGTTATTAGTCCTCTCTCCGTTCTCTTAGAATTATCCTTTAGAAGGCAATGTAGTACAGTGAATGAAGTGCTAGACTTGGAGTCAGGAAGACCTTATGTTCACATCCTTATACCTCTGATACTTACTAGCTATGTGACCCTGGGCAAAAGAACCTCTTTCAGCCTCAGGTTCTTTATCTGTAAAATGAGGATAATTATACCTGGATCTCACAATGAAACTCAAATGAGAAAATGGATGTAAAGCATTTTGTAAGCCTTAAATGCCAGTTTGGCTTAACTTTATGCCAGTTATTATTAGCAACATGGATATATTTATTTGTTTACATGTTATATTTCCCTAGTAGAATGTAAGCCCTTTAAGAGCAAGGACTGGTTTTCATTTTATTCTTTTTTTTTTTTTTTTTTTTTTTTTTAGGCAATTGGGGTTAAGTGACTTGCCCAGGGTCACACAGCTAGTAAGTGTTAAGTGTTTGGTCTGAGGTTGGATTTGAACCCAGGTCCTCCTGACTCCAAGGCTGGTGCTCTATCCACTGCGCCACCTTGCTGCCCCTCATTTTATTCTTGTACCTCAGGCACCCACCATACAGTGCCTTGAACATTTTTTTCTCATTTTGATCTGAACCTATGACTTTATTGGTTATAAAACCAGTTTGTGTCTGAGGCAGGAGGCCACCTCCATCTACTACTCTGCCTTGCACATAGTAGGAGATTAATTAGTGTTTATTGGATTATACTCATGAACTCTGCATTTTCCAAAGCCAGAACTTGGTGTTCTGTCCCTACTATTCCATGAATTCTCACAAACTGGCTTCTCAGGCTTAGAATGCATTCTTCCCTCATTTTTACTTCTTAGAATATTTGTCTTCTTTCAGAGTTCCCCACTCAGGTCCCCCTTCCTCCATGTGGCTCCTAGTGCTCTTGCCTTGCTTGCATTGCTTTGTATCTTACTTCTCTGTGTACTTGCTGTGTCCTAGAGTAGAATGGAATCTCCTTGTGGGCCAAGATTGTTTCTTTGTATCTCCTGCTCAGTACCTTTCATATCATAAACATTTACTAAATGTCTGTCCAAGTGAAGTGGAAGTTTGAGCCTGCTGTGTGACACATCCTCTGGAATAGCTCAGGAGATCATAGGCTGAATTATGGAGGGGGGAAGGTCAATCATATGGGGATAGTGGATTAATTTCTGGGTTCTGCATTTTAGAGAAGACAGGGACAGAGTGGAATAGGTCCAGAGGCAGGTGACCAGGGTGAGAAGAGGACTAGAGACTGAGGTGTGTGCCTCAGAGCCAAGAAGACTTAATTGCCTTGACAGAGAAAGTTTGGATTAGGGAGCTTCAAAGGAGGAAAGTCCTTTACCACTGCAAATTGATGCCTTTTGCGACTTGGAATCTTAGAAAGTTGTCTGCAGGCATAGAGCCAGCCTGTGACAGAGGCAGAACTTGAATCCAGGTCTTCTGACACCTAGCCAGCTCTGGCCAGCCATCCAATGTATGTTTAACCTCTCACAAACAAAACCCCCCAAAGTAAGCAAACAGAAACTAGATACACAAGGCAAAGCATCACCTAACCTTTTTGTAGGGTTGATAGAACTGCAAATAGAACTGATTTAGGCAAGGACCAACTCTGATTGAAAAATAATAGAATCAATTGAAAATTAATGTTGCAAAATTACAAATGACAAGTTTGATCCCAAAGAAGAGATGTAAGAAGACACCTCCTACTACTCCTTTGCAAAAATGGTGAGTACAAAAGCATGGAATATTGCATTTGCTGTCACATCTTTTCAGTATATTGATTAGTTTTGCTAAATTTTTTTCTTCTCTTTCTTTTTCCTTTTAAAAAAATTCCTATTATAAAGGATGGTGCTCTGAGAGAGGGAAGGAGGAGGA